CCTATCAGACTGGATCTGGCCCTTAACTTCTCTGTGTTCTATTATGAGATTCTCAACTCCCCAGAGAAAGCCTGCTGTCTTGCAAAGACAGCTTTTGATGAAGCCATTGCTGAATTTGATACATTAAGTGAAGAGTCATACAAAGACAGCACGCTAATAATGCATTTACTGAGAGACAACTTGACGTTGTGGACATCAGATACCCAAGGAGACAAAGCTGAAGCAGGAGAAGGAGGGAAAAATTAACCAGCCTTCCAACTTTTGTCTGACTCCTAAAATTTACACAGTAGACCATTTGTCATCTGCGCTGTCCCGCAAATAGTTTTTGTTTACGATTTATGACAGGTTTATGTTACTTCTATTTGAATTTCTGTATTTCCCATGTGGTTCTTATGTTTAATGGTAGGGGAGTAGAACCAGTTGACATTTAGGGATTTACCTGTTTTCATCTTGAGGTGGCCAATATGGGGATGTGGAATTTTTATACAACTTATAAATGTTTGACACAGTACTTTTGGTACATTGCGGCTTCACAAGGGCCAGTGTTAAAACTGCTTCCATATCTAAGCAAAGAAAACTGCCTACATATTGGTTTGTCCTAGTGGAGAATTAAAGGGATCATTGGTTCCAGTCACAGGTGTAGTAATTGTGGGTACTTTAAGGTTTGGAGCACTTGCAAGGCTGTGATAGAAACAGTTATCCCATGGATCCCACATGTTAAACCAGGTATATCTGTAGAATACTCAATCTCAATGTGCACACCTTTGACTACAGCTGCAGAAGTTTTCCTGTAGACAATCGTAACCCATCTTACTCTGGGTAAGGGCAGAAATGGTTCACGTTCCATTATTTGTACAGTTACCTGCTGTTAGCTTTCATTATTTTTGCTATGCTCATTGTATTTGTACTTAAGTGTTTTAGGCAACCAAAGAACAAATGTAAAAGTAAAGATGCAGTAAAACTGAATTGGCTGATATTCATTACTTATGTATATCAAGCACAGCAGTAAAACAAAAACCCATGTATTTAACCTTTTTTTAGGTTTTTTGCTTTTGTGATTTTTAGGTTTTTTGCTTTTGTGATTTTTTTTTTTTTTGATACTTGCCTAACATGCATGTGCTGTAAAATAGTTAACAGAGAAACAACTTGAGATGATGGCTAGCTTCGTTTAATGTCTTATGAAATTTTTATGAACAATCCAAGCATAATTATTAAGAACATGTGTATTAAATTAATCTAAGTGGAATAAAATTTTTATGAATAGAAAAAAAGATTTGGCTGGGTGCATTGGCTCATGCCTGTAATCTCAGCACTTTGGGAGGCCGAGGTGGGCAGATCACGAGGTCAGGAGATGGAGACCATCCTGGTCAACATGGTAAAACCCTGTCTGTACTAAAAATACAAAAATTAGCCAGGTGTGGTGGCAGGTACCTGTAGTTCCAGCTACTTGGGAGGCTGAGGCAGGAGAATGGCATGGGAGGCGGAGCTTGCAGTGAGCCCAGATTGTGCCACTGCACTCCAGCCTGGGCGACAGAGCAAGACTCCATGAAAAAAAAAAAAGAAAAAGAAAAGAAAGAAAGAAAGAGAAAGGAAGGAAATAAAGGAGAGAAAGGAAGGAAGGAAGGAAGGAAGGAAGGAAGGATAGAAGGAAGGAAGGAAGGAAGGAAGGAGGGAGGGAAGGAAGGAAGGCAGGCAGGCAGGAAGGAAGGAAGCAAGGAAAGAAGATTCATTGGACAGTACTGGGTTTTTACATGAAGGAAAAAAAAACCCAAATGGAGAGGCGGGTATTCACTGAGGGTGAAATATCCTCCCATACAGTGCCATGAATACCTATCACTGGGCGACAAAAAGGTCCTTACTAGGTGAAAATTTAGGCTAAAATCTTGAATTCTCCCTGTTTCTAGGAAATCACAAAAACAGCAATTTGAGTTACATTCCTGGTTACTAAGGCACTGGCTGACTCTATCCAACAAAATTATATTCCCAGGTTGTAAAAATACCTTCAGCATAGCATACAAAGAAGGGATAGGAGACATGATAGCCACAAAGGAGAGAATGGAAGAAAATGCGATAGGAAAGACTGGAAGTCCTGGCACCAACACCATGATGGGCTGTCAGGGACTGGAGTTAGTTCAGGAGCCTTCAGATAACACTGAGGTGTAGCCTCAGCCAGAAACCTTCAGTTGTCCCAGGACCTCCTTTCAACCCCATGCGATGGCTAGGTCTTCCATGAATGGAAACTGGATTGGAACTCAGCTGACATTCCCAACACCCGAGGGCGATGGGGGATTGACAGAGTCCTCTCCAGCAAGCCTGTCCTCTGAGTCTTACAGATCTGGTGGCTGCACTAACCACTCTTAACTGACCAACAGAGGCCTGGTATTTGTTTGATTTTGAGACGAAAAAAAAAAAACTGTGGATAAGAAACCACAGAAAGTAAAATATTAGAGGGTTGCTCCTACTCACCCTTCCGACATATCCCAGATGACCCCCTATGGGTGAAGCAGTCTAGGGTCATTGTAGCAGTCTCCTTGTCTAAGGTGTTATCCAGAGTTCTTTGTCTCATGACCAAGAAAATTAAGGAGCATGGACACCAAGGGTGAGGTTGCAGTGAAAGTTTAATAAGTGAAAGAGGAAAGCTCTCAGCAGCAGAGCAGGGGATCGACCTGAAACACGGTTGTTGTTTTACAGTTAAATACGAAGGTTTTTATAAGAAACTTCCCTTATCTGTGCAGGTGCTGTGTAACTTACCTTATCTGTGTGGCTACCTGTGTATCTTCCCTTATTTGTGCAGCTGTGAGCATGTCTTAGGCAAGCACAGGGTGCAGCTTCTCTTGCCTGAGCAACTACGGGCATGTTTTAGGCAAGCCCCCATCCCACCCCATGCAAGTTCTCACGGAGCCCACTGTGTACATGCCCAAAAAAGGGAGGAAACTTTTTCCTGGGAGTCCCCTGATTACACAGAGAACCAAGGCGTTTCTATGTTGGGCCTCACTTCCTTATCTGTGCCTGTAGCTTGATTTTTCCAAGCTGCTCTCTATGTGCCTGCAGCTTGATTTTTTTCCAGACTGTTCTTTTGTTTGAAAGAATTTCACCGAGGACCTGCCCTAACTGTCTGCCTGCTTTTTTTCTTTCTCCTCCCTCACTTGGGAGGCTGAGGCAGGAGGATCACCTGAACTTGGGGAGGTCGAGGCTACAGTGAGTAGTGATTGCACCGCTGTACTCCAACCTGGATGACAGAGTGAGATTCTGTCTCAAAAAACAAACAAAAAACCAAAGAAACATACACACACAGAGAAACCAAAAAACCAACAACAGGAAAACTGGAAACAACCAGGTTTTTTCCATCAATAAGAGAATGGTGATACTGACTATATAGTATACTCTTACATTGGAACACTATTCAGCCATGAAAAGGAACAAACTGTCATTTGTTTTTGAGGCAGTGTTGCTCTATCACCCAGGTGGGAATGCAGTGGTGTGATCACGTCTCTCTGCAGCCTCAACTTCCTGGGCTCAAGTGATTCTCCCGCCTCAGCCTCCCAAGTAGCTGGGACCACAGGCACACATCACCATGCTCAGCTAATTAAAAAAAATTTTTTTTGTAAAGATGAAGTCTTTCTATGTTGCCCAGGTTGGTCTTGAACTCCTGGGTTCAAGTGATCCTCCTGCCTTGACCTCCCAAGTACTGTGATTATGAGATTATAGGCATGAGCCACCGCACCTGTCCAGACAGTTAATACCACAACAACATAGATCAATCTGAAAAGCATTATGCTAACTGAAAGAAGCAAGATTCAAAAGAGTATCTACTGTATGATCCCATTTTTGTGATGTGCCAGAACAGGCAATACTACTCTGGTACAAAAAAATAATCAAAACAAAAAAAAAATCAAAACATCCTCTGGGGATGGGGGTGGGGATTGACAGGGAAGGGACACAGAGGAATAAGATTTCTGAGGTAGTGGTAGTGTTCTGTATCTTAAAAGGGGTTTGCATTCCTAGGTGATAACTTTAAAAAAGAACCATGAACAAATACTGAACTCTAGTTAATGATATGCAGGCTGAAGCATTTAAGGGTGATGTCTGCAGCCTGCTTTGAAATGAATCGGAAAAGAAGATGGATTGATGGAAGGAGAGACAGAGATGAGACGGAGGGGTAGATGGATAGATATGTGATAAAGTGAACATAGCTAGATGTTCCTCGAAGAATGTAGGAGGAGGCTATCCAGGTGTTCACTATGCAATTCTTTGAATTTTGCTGTGTGTTTGAAATTCTTCATAATAAAAAGATAGAAAAAAAAAACAATTAGAGAGCAGTTCTCAGGCTGGGTTTCCAAGCAGGTATGGTGGGGCATAGAATAGAAGTATAACAGAACTGGCTGTTCAGAAGCCTCAACTATTACTCTCCGCTGTATGAGGCCTCTGCAGGTCATTGGCCGTTGCGGTTCTACTACCAGGAATCAGTTGACTCCTAGTTATTGTCTAAAAATGACCAGACTGGACATAAAACATGCTATAATTACAGCTCTTGTCTTTGTAAAGGCTTTGCTCCCTATTTTCCAGACAGATGAAGAAAAAATGCCTGCAAACTCCATGTATGAGCTACCGCTTTTGCAGCAGTGTGAGATGGGAACTATACTTGGCTTGCCTTAGCTGGGAAGTGGCTGTGGAGGTAGAGGGGTGGCTTGGCTTGTTGCAGGAGTTGGAAAAAGGGCAGGCCACACTGAACTGTGGAGGAGGGGGCAGTCCTTTTCCCCCAGAGTGAGTCTGTGCTTCATCCCAAGTTTCCTTACCTGCCTAGGACACTCCGGGTCCCCAGGGAGGAGGGGGCTCATTAAGCTAGATTCTCACATCTGACGTCTGCCCATGAGCATGCAAGCCTTCATGACATCTCTGCTTCTGCTGTTTTCAAAGGTTGGAAAACAAAGAACCAGACCAAAGAGGGGGCAGACTGCTCTCACCTTTGGGCAGGGTGCCATCTTTGTTTTCCTCTCCAGGTGATCGTGTTGCCATCGAGCCTGGTGTTCCCCGAGAAAATGATGAATTTTGCAAGTCTGGCCGATACAATCTGTCACCTTCCATCTTCTTCTGTGCCACACCCCCCGATGACGGAAACCTCTGCCGGTTCTACAAGCACAATGCAGCCTTTTGTTACAAGTGAGTGTCCACAGTCCCACTGGGTCACCTGGGACCTCTTTCCCTTCATTAGCTTGGCGCTGTTTCCTGTGGTTATTTCTTTATTCTTTTCAGCTCAGAATTCCAAACATGTGGCATCACTTGGGCAGGCTACTCTTCTTGGTGGCGTTGAGAGAGGGTAGCCTCCCTAGGAATAAGACTGACTCACAGTGCTTGGTTTTAGTCTTTTAGTTTGTTTCCCTTACTTACAGCAACAATAGAAAAATACTGCTGAAAATCACTCACCCTCTGCAGACAGCCTGGAGAGAATTCCTGTGGTTCATCCTCTGTTATTACTTTCCACTGCAACCACCAGAAAGTTCATAACAACCATGACCTTGGCTGGGCGCGGTCGCTCACGCCTGTAATCCCAGCACTTTGGGAGGCTGAGGCAGGCGGATCGCGAGATCAGGAGATCGAGACCATCCTGGCTAACATGGTGAAACCCCGTCTCTACCAAAAAAAATACAAAAAATTAGCCGGGCATGGTGGCGGGCGCCTGTAGTCCCAGCTACTTGGGAGGCTGAGGCAGGAGAATGGTGTGAACCCGGGAGGTGGAGGTTGCAGTGAGCTGAGATTGCGCCACTGCACTCCAGTCTGGGTGACAGAGCAAGACTCTGTCTAAAAAAAAAAACCAGAACAACAACAACAATGACCTCGACAACAACAATAACACACCATGACAGCAACAGCTGACATTTCCTGAGGTGCCGTGGTGTGCTGCCAGGGCTTGAGCTCTGGGATCCTGGATCTACTCCCTCCTAGCAAGTGAATTTGGAGAAATGATTTAACTTTTCTCTGCTTCAGTTTCATTTAATCACCAAAATATTAAATAAGGTGATGCATGGAGAGTCATAATTATTATTACTATGTGCCTGCCCTTGTGCTAGTAAGTGCTTTGCATGCTTTAATTTATTTAATCTCCACAAGAATAATGGTGAGATGGGCACCGCTGTTGGGTTAACCAAGGCAGAAGGAAGCTTATTGACTTGGGCACGCAGCAGAACCAAGAGTCAAACTGGGGTCTCTGTGAGTCACAAGCTCCTGCCCTGTGCCCACTCCCCTACCCTACTCCAATTCTCACCCCTGAAATTGTGAAGTTGAGTCTGGAGGAAGCAAAGTGCTTGCCTTTCTTCATGGCCCCCCATGGCCCCAGCCATGGAGCTCTAAGGTGCCAAAGTGCCGCTTTCCCCCTGACCCAACTCAGTTGCGTTCTCCTGCCACCCCAGCCTGGCCCCAGTGGTGGTTTTCAGCCAGGATGGGGCTTGTCCGATGGAGGCCAGGTGACAGTCACAGGAACAGTCTGGGAGCCTACTGGGAGCCTTGAGAGGAGTCACAGGCCAGAGACCTTGTGATGGGTTTAAGTCAACACCTGAACCTGCTCTAGAAGTAAGCAGGTTACCTGTGCAGAGTCCACCTTTCAGCAAGTGGTTCCTGAATGAACCCATCTTTCTGGGGCCCTTTCCAAGTCAAGACACCAAACAAAAGTTTCATGGAAGGCAGAAGAGCATAGTGGTGAAGCCCACTGGTCTCTGCCAATTACAACTGTGTGACCTTGGGCAAGTCACTTAAATTTTGTAACCTCGATATCCTTGCCTGTGAAATAGAGATAGTAATGGTACCTCCCTCACAGAATTACTGATGAGATCCAATGAGAAAGGCATGTCAAGTCTCCAGCATGAGGTCTGGCCCACAGTAGGTGCTCAGTAAATGGTGCCAAGCTATGCCATACTCATGGCCTAGTGGTCTGGGGATGGAGGTGCAGGAGTAGACATGAAAGAGAGCCTTGCGCTGGTGGTTTATAGGGAATGATGGGGCTCTGGTTGGCAGTGGCAGTGGGGGTGCTGAGGAAGGTCTCTGGGGAGTCATACAGCCCCTGCCTTTCTTCTCCTCCCAGGGTGCTTTCTGCCTGTGTCCCCAATTCTTCCCTACCCAAGCCCTCCTCTCTGATGTCTTTTTAGGATTCCCATACTACCACAGCCTCTTTATTTGTGTACCTACCTATTTTCTTTCTATTTTCCTGCTTCCTCCTTGGCTTCTTAATCATCCATTACCCAATTTGGCCTGTTCCCTGAACCCCACTGTAAAAACTACCAAGTTGCCTCATCACTCTCTGGTGTTTACAAAGTCATGAAAGGTTGGGGCTAGGAGGAAGTTTAGAGTCTTCTCATCCTTGTTCTCCATCAACCCCCACTGGACAAGATTGGAGAGGGTGGAGTCAGTGGTTTTCCCAAGGTCAGTGGCAGCGGGGCTGGCCTCCAGGACTCCTTGTGCATGCTTCTGCCTCCACACCAGATAGCTTTCCAACACGGTTGGCTGTGTTGGGTGCAGGCGGATGAGGCAGCGTCTGCTTAATCAGTAGAGTATTCTTCCTGATAACAGTCTTCCCTCATCACCTTCCCCAATCCCATCTCTCCTCGATGTAGCTTCCATGCAGTCCACCCTCTGCATAGAGCCCTTATGAGTTCTTCAGGAAGCCCAGATGTGGAAGGGCAGGCGTATCTGGGAGCCTGCGGAGTCCCTGAGAGAGTTTAGGAATCTTCACTATTTCATTTTAAACTTTTTCCCATTATATAGAAGGGATGCTTCTAGGGGGAGTAGAAGGAGTGTGACCGCAGTCAGAGCAGGAGAGTGGATTGGAGTAGGGAAAGTGATGGGGAAGAAGCCGAGGGGAAGGGATAAGGGGGTGGTGGGCAGCAGCTGGGCCTCCAAAGGCCTGGTGAGTAGTTCTGTCAAGGATCAGGGACAGTGATAGGAGGACTCTGAGTTATTCTGTTGAAGATTGGGGACAGTGTTGAGAGGATCATGGGGATGAGCACATGGTTTGGCTGCCACATTTATTTCTTTCTGGAACTCGAGGGTTTTCATGTTCCTGTGTGTGGAGATTTGGGGTGCTGGGTAAATCCTGGGCAGTGAGGAACTAGCAGAAATTGGATATTAATATTAGCTACACAGCTGCTCATACCAGGAGGCAGCTGATATGGGACAGGCAGAGGATGTGGAATCAGGACACCTTGGTTCAGTCTGGCCTTCCATTCCCTAGCTTCATAACCTTGGCAATTCTCTTAATGTCAGTGAGTTTCAGTTTCCTCTTCAGTAAAATAAAGATTTTTTTAAAAAGCCTGCCCTACCTGCCTAACATGGTTATCATGAGGATTAAATGAGGTAATAGATGAGCATGCTTCCTAATCTGTAAAGCTTTATGCAAATACTTGCTGTCATCATCAGCAGTATTATTGAGAGGGTCAAGATGCCAGTGGAAGTGAAAACCTAGAACCCAGAGTGAAGGTGACACAGCATTTAATCAGCTATGTGGAACAGGCCCTTTTTTCCTCTTAACTGGCCCTGGGTGAGCCGGGCAGCTGCTGTCCTCAGATGTGGTTCCTCTGGAATGTATAATATGGGGGGTGGCTATCAGAGTGATGCCCATTGCTAAATCACTGTTCTGCAAAACTGGTGATAATCAGGATTGTTTGCTAAAGTGAAACTAAAAAGGCTGTAAATTTGAGAAGCAGATGAGATGCTGGAATGTGGCCATGTTAACTCCTTGTTAAGTAAACTTTTCATTTATTAATGATAACCACCGTGCCTTACCTTGGATAGCACATTAAAGAAAATGTAATGTGTTCATTTCACTGAATTGATTTCTCCAAAGAAAACCATGTTGCCTTCTTCAGATGGGGACGCTGTGGCATAGGTTCTGGGATCACAACATATCTGGCTTCTAATTTGAACCCTTTGGGCCCCTTACTAACTTTGAACCACTGGGGCAGTCATTTAACCCACCAAGCCTGTTTCCTCATCTGTAAAATGGGAATGATAGTACCTACCACAGAACTATTCCAGGGCTTTACATGAGTTAATGTATATAAATTGCTTAGCACATTGCTCTGCACATAAATAAATGCTGGATGAATGTTAGCTATGGTTGTTATTACAGTAACGTTGGGCATGTATAATACTATTGTTAGCATTGTCATTAACTCAGAGGATCTCTGTGTGTTGAATGATTCTTCAGGCTTCCTGACAATGTCACCTTTGAGGAAGGCGCCCTGATTGAGCCACTTTCTGTGGGGATCCATGCCTGCAGGAGAGGTGGAGTCACCCTGGGACACAGGGTCCTTGTGTGTGGAGCTGGTAAGAAACAGAAGCTACCCTGTTGCGGGTTCATTGACTGGGAATGCGGGGACCTCTCCGCCCATCTCATTCCCCCTCCAAGGCTTGAGATTTGTTCTAGAATCCTTCTGGGTAAGGGAGGATTGCAGTGTCCCGTTCCCTCAGTGACTAGCACTTTGCTAAACAAATGGTATCTGCAGACATGATATTAACTAGGGTTATATGTCCTAGGCAACATAGCCCTTTCGTTTATTTAAAGAATGAATTGGCTGGGCACGGTGGCTCCCGCCTATAGTCCCAGCACTTTGGGAGACCAAAGCGGGTGGATCACTTGAGCCCAGGAGTTCGAGACTAGTCTGGGCAACATGGTGAAACCCCATCTCTACAAAAAAATACAAAAATTAGCCAGTGTGGTAGTGTGTGCCTGTAGTCCCAGCAACTCAGAAGGCTGAGGTGGGAGGATCACTTGAACCTTCGAGGTCAAGGGTGCAGTGAGCCATGATTGTGCCCCTGAACTCCAGTCTGGGTGACAGAAGAAGACCCTGTCTCAAAAAAAACAAGACCCCATATCAAAACAAACAAACAAAAAGAATGAATCTGGGCCAGACGCAGTAGCTCATGCCTATAACCCCAGCACTTTCGAAGGCTGAGGCAGGTGGATCACTTGAGGCCAAAAGTTCAAGACCAGCCTGGCCAAAATGATGAAACCTCATCTTTACTAAAAACACAAGAATTAGCCGGGCATGATGGTGCGTACCATGTAGTCCCAGCTACTTGGGAAGCTGAGACAGGAGAATCACTTGAACCTGGAAAGCAGAGGTTGCAGTGAGCCAAGATCGTGCCACTGCACTCCAGCCTGGGCAATAGAGCGAGACTCAGTCTCAAAAAAAAAAAAGGAATTAATCTGGTGATTATTTTTGAACCCTTGATGGGAAACTAGGGAAATTTTTTTTTCTTGAGACAGAGTCTCACTCTGTTGCCCAGATTAGAGTACAGCAGTGCAATCTTGGCTCACTGCAACCTCCACCTTAGAGAAATATTTTTGATAGTAAAGGGAAGGGCAACTCTTGGAACTTTCTAATTATACCAGCAAAGTGATGGCCTAGTCCCATCTATGAATAAGGCAGACCCCGCTACCGGCCAGTGGGAGGAGTGAGCAGTGGTTTGCTCCCACACCACTGGGAGCCAGCACTCTGCCTGCAGTAGGGTTGTAGCTAGCTGCCTCCCCTCACCCCCTGTTTCCAGCCATCTGGAACAGGCCCGAGCAGCCTCAGACCGAATCATTCTAGGCTTCTAACTGCTGGTGACCCAGACAGCACGCTCACACTCCTTGTGGGTGTGATCTGGGGTTCCTCATACTTGTTTGTGATTTTCTTTGGCAGGCCAAATAAGTGATCACAGGGTTTCCTAAGAGGGGTGATGGATATAGAATAGACTTGCCACAATGGGCTAGCAGACTGCAGGACTCAGGTGACAGATTCTTATAAAAATCTGCATGGATCCGGTACCTTTTTACCATAGAAAAGGAAAATAAGTCACACATACCACATACATGCATGCCTTGTCCCCAACACACACACATAGAAATTCACCTGCAAGCCCGTCACCGATTAGCCCAAGAGACCCACTATTAATATTTGGGTATAGAATCTTTTAGTTCGTTAGCTTTTTTCTGAGACCATGCTAAATACTCTTCCTTCACCTACTCTTTTTAAAAAATCAGACTGGGCACGGTGGCTCACGCCTGTAATCCTAGCACTTTGGGAGGCTGAGGCAGGCGGACCTGAGGTCAGGGTGAGACCAGCCTGGTCAACATGGTGAAACCTCGTCTCTACTAAATACAAAAATTAGCCAGGCATGGTGGCGGGTGCCTGTAATCTCCACTACTCAGGAGGCTGAGGTGAGAGAATCGCTTGAACCCGGGAGGCGGAGGTTGCAGTGAGCTGAGATTGCGCCACTGCACTCCAGCCTGGGCGACAGAGCAAAACACTGTCTCCAAAAAAAAAAAAAAAAAAAATTCAATCTACTGTGAACATTTTTCCGTGTCCATAGATAAAGAGTTATGGCATAATTTTTAATAGCGGTGTAGTTTTTTAATCTTGCTTTGTTGGACATTTCAGGTATTATTTTTCAGTGTTTTGTTTTCTGAGGGAGTTCACAAAATTGTTCTCAGGGGGTGTGTACAAAAAGTAAATCCCCAAAGATATTCTGCATTGCTTCCGTTCTGTGGGTCTGATTTTTATATTAAAACCACAGTGTCACTTAGCATGCAGATTCTATGGGGAAGCAGGTATCTCAGGAAAATCCTTGCATACCTGAGTATCCTGGGGCTATCTGGGCACCTGGGCCAACCCAGGGAGCCAGCTCACTTAAGGACCCTCTCCAGGTGGTCCTCAGAGGACACCTAAAAAGAATATGTGTCTCTCTAGGGGAGGTGTGATGGGTTCTCACGAAGGTCGGGGCAAAGAAAGAACAGGAGAACAAGTCCAGACCTTCCAAGAGTTCTTATATTCTGAATAACTTTGTGTTTCCTTGAATCCTGTGGTTCTTTGAGATTGTCTCCACTAGTGCCCAGGAGTAAGTGGGAAGTTTTTAGCTCTGAGGTTTGAGAGGATTAAATAGAACCCGGCACTAGGAGCGTGTTTTATGTAGAGAATAATTCTTCATGGATTCATTCACTTCTGCATTCAACAAACAGCCAGTAAGGTCTTATCATGCCAGGCACTGGGGTAGATGCTAGAGACACACAAAAGATACGGTTCCTGTCCATGGCCTGGACAAGTGGGAGAGCAGATGTTTAATATTTCACAAACATCTTCCGTCTTCTGCTTTGTTTAGGGCCAATCGGGGTGGTCTCTTTGCTCGTGGCCAAGGCAATGGGAGCAGCTCAAGTAGTGGTGACTGGTAAGGCTTTGTTCTCTTTCAGTCTCCTTGATGGGGAAACAGCTGGGCCTACTGTATGTGTATGTGTGAGGAGAGGTTATCTGTGATGGTGTGGAGGGGGTGAGTGTGTAGTGTCATATGGATTGTGGAGATATAGAAGAGTGTGCGAGTGTGTTTTGTGTTAGGAGAAGCTATTAGAGAGAGTTTGTGTGAGAGTGTGTGTGTGTGTGTGGGTGTGTTTGTGTAGCTGTGTGGTGGACATGGGAGTGTATGAGGGTATACAGCAGGGGTGTCCAATCTTTTGACTTCCTTGGGCCACATTGGAAGAATTGTCATGGGCCACACATAAAATATACTAATACTAACGATAGCTGATGAACTTTAAAAAAATTTTCTTTTAATCTCATACTATTTTAAGAGAGTTTACAGATTTGCATTGGGCCATACTCAAAGCCATCCGGAGCTGCATGCAGGCTGCGGGTTGGACAAGCTTGGTGTGAAAAGGATGCGTTGGGCTCAACAGCACCACCCATTGCACCAGAGCTTTGTTGCCATCAGATCTTACACCTCCATTTTCTTTTCTTCCTAACAAGTCATCAGATTTCTCTGTTTGAAATAATTTTTTTTTTTTTTTTTTTTTTTTACCTTCAGACCTGTCTGCTCCCCGGTTGTCCAAAGCCAAGGAGATTGGGGCTGATTTAGTCCTCCAGATCTCCAAGGAAAGTCCTCAGGAAATCGCCGGTAAAGTAGAAGGTCTGCTGGGGTGCAAGCCGGAAGTCACTATCGAGTGCACGGGGGCAGAGGCCTCCATCCAGGCGGGCATCTACGTGAGTGAGCTGAGGGCAGCTTTGGGGAATCAGCATAGGGGAGTGAAGGAGATAGAAGTAGGGAGTGAAGCTTCTTTACCAGCTTGCTGTGTGAGCCCCAAGCCAAATTGATTCCTCTTTTGTTATCTCTGTTTTCTTATCTCCAGTGTGGAGATTGTACTTGAACTTGCCTTACATCCTCATTGGGCCATCTGAGGTTCACACAAGATAACAGCTATACATGGGCCTTGAAAAATGTTACGGACACACACTTTGAGGATGGGGTTGGCTTCATGATCGTATCTGTGATCATAAAAGTGCAGTAGTTTTGGTAAAAAGATCAAGAAGAAAAACAGGGAATGATGCCTTAATTGTATGTGGGAAATCCCCGTCATATTTTATTGAGGAAAACTGCAATCTTTTAGTCATTGATATAAAGTGACAGACATTCAGTTAGTCATGAAGGCGAGGTTATTTTCCAGGTTCACAGGTGTCTACTGCTTGTTTTGTCTCCAAGACTTAGGAACAGATAAGCTGCCAATGCCTGACTCGCCCTTCAGGGACCCACCAACCACTTATGGGAAGTTGGCAGGAAGTTGGAGGTGGTGGGAGGGAGTGGCATTGACAGATCAAAGTACGAGGAAAAGAGGGGAAAGAGAATAACTTCCAGGTTCCAAGCCCTACTGCATGCCAGCTTCTCTGCTGTACTTTATAAACATGATGCCTAATCTACACAATAATGCTGAAAATCAGTTACCGTTTTATGTTGAGGGATTTGTGGTTTGAGGCAAGCCGAGTCACGCCCAGGCCCAGCCCTGCCAGGCCCCAGTGCCTGAGTTGCCCTGCCGCTTAGGAGAGGAAGGGAAGGAGGGGACAAACAACCATGCTAGGGTAGGGGGACAGGGCCAGGGCTGGGGAGGGTCGCAGGCAGCTGTCACCACAGGGGACTCCCGTCCCCGCCTCCCAGACTGCTTCTCCACGGTAGCGTGGGCTTCTTCCTTCCTTCTGAGTCCAGCTGATTCATGCACGAGGGCACTTCGCATCACACGAGACATTCTAGGGAAGGCTGACTCACCAAGCTGAGTAGCAGAGCTGCCTAGACCTCCTTCTACTAAGTTGCCTGTGGCCTTAGGAGCTGAGGAAGCAGTGGGGGAGAGGGAGGAGCGGGTGCCACCTCGGCACTGTCCTGAGTTTCAGCTGGAGTCGGCCAGCCCTCTGCTTCACTGTCACAGGCAGTGGTCGCCATGGGGGAAGGGGCAAAAAGACGCTGAAACTCAGAGAGGAACAATGGGTCTGTGTGTGACTGATCTACCCATGGTATGTCTTGGGTACCTGCCGTGTGCCAGGCTTTGTGCTGGGCACTTTGAGGGCTAAGACATGAGTAAGTCGTGTCTACTGTCTTCAAGTAGTTGGCAGGTCAGTGACCTCCACCCCACAGAGAGGCAGTATAAGCTGGGCGACTTCAAGGACGTGTCTCTCCTTCCTCTTGTGCCTGGTCCTTAGAGCATTTGGAACAGTTGGCATTTCCAGCTGTTGATGGTGGCAGCCTGGTTGCCAGGCTACCTGAGGCAGCATGGAGGTGAATGTGACCCATGGGCCTCACCGGACCTGCAGCAGTGTCTCTCTTGACGTAGGGAGTGGGACTGTCATGCATGACAGGTGCTGTAGAATGCTATAGGCCACCCCGCCAATGAGCAGGCTAGGCGGCTGCACCAAATACGGACATATCTGAGCATCGCGGTCCTGCCAGGTTCTGACTGGATAGTGTTTGTGATGAGACGCGGCAGATGCCTTGGGGTAGAATTGATGTCATATCCTTGGTGCAGATGCCATACCTACAGGACAGTGTCCAGGTGGTTCCAGCATTCCTTGACCAGGGGTCAGCAAACTGCTGGCATCTTGGCAGCTTGGGATGGCCAATTGGTGTTCCTCCTCATCACCAGGTAGAGAGGAAGTGCTGATGAGGAAGTAGTTTCCCTAGAAAATGGGCTGAGAGGGCACGTCCAGGGTGCCACAGCTCTGAAGCGGCAGCCCCAGGAGTCACTCCCACACCACTCACACCGTGAGTTCACCTCTTGCTCACGGCACCGCAGGCCTCTCTCCATGGTGTATCCTTCATCTCAGAAGCGGAGGCTGTGGCGTGTGCCTTTCTCTAGTTCCACTGTTTAGCACCTAGAATGGTCCCAATAAATGCTTGCTGCTGACTATAATGAACAGCCAGCATGACTGAATTGTCCATTGTTCTGTCTCTCACCACACTGAGCACAGTGATCCCCAGAAAGCTCTGGAACAAGCACGGCACTCACAGGGAGTTCTGGGGAAATTTTCAGGAGAAATTTCACAGCCACCTGTGAAATTGCCCACTCCAAGTGGGCAACTGATAAGGCAGATAAACATTCAAGGAAAGACAAAACCCATTATGGCTCATACTGTTGAGGAAAACATCTCTGGAACAAAACGATTTCTAACCGCCAGCCTGCACGCACCTATAAAGCCTTTTTTAACCACAGAATATAAGTGACTCATCTGTCTCATGTTTATAGTTTTCTCAGCACCGGTGAGCTTAGAGGGCCGGCGGTTCCTTCCAGCTCTGATGAAAGCGCTGCCTGTGGAGGGCGCTCTGCGGGAGGAACAGGTGCTTAGACTGTGGAGCTGGCTGAAGCCAATATTGGGTCCCGAATCTGTAAAGCTTTGGAAGACGTTCCCACTGTGCCTGGTTCTCCGTGGGTTAAGTGTATTTTTTCAGAAGGTTTAAAGGAAACAGTGTTTACTCTGCCAGTCTGTTAAGTTTGGTTGGCAGGTTGAGCAGTTCAGCACTGTACAAGAATCACATTCTCTGGAATTTTGAGATGCTCAGCTGATGCAACCAGAAGATACTTGTGTGATGATACTACGTTATTGTAAGTGGGAAGTCAGCATTTCTTATCTTCTGAGCTTTCTTGTTTGTACCTCCTTTTCCAGGCCACTCGCTCTGGTGGGACCCTGGTGCTTGTGGGGCTGGGCTCTGAGATGACCACCATACCCCTACTGCATGCAGCCGTCCGGGAGGTGGATATCAAGGGCGTGTTTCGATACTGCAACACGTGAGTATGCTGTGGGTGAGCCAGGATGCCCAGCCTCCAGCAAGACCAGGGCAGGCCCCACTCAGCCTCTGGGCCCATGAGTCTCTGCCTGTTTGTTCATGGGGGGCACTCCCTGGCCACACTGATAGCTGTGTGATATAACAGGGATCCAAAGAGAGAACACTCATTCCCAGTTAAAGAATGGGAAGGACAGAAGAATGAATGGAGGGAAGGAAGGAGGGGATTTTGAAGCATGCTCTTACTGGGTGTCTGCTGTTTATCCCCGCCAGGCCCCTTTCCCCCCACCCATTTTCTTAAGTTGCCAGATCTCCATTTTCTCCCTTTAAAGGGAAGAAGAAGAGAAAGGACAGAAGGAAGAAATCAAGTCCTGTGGCTCCCGTTCCTGAGCCCTAGGGCCCACCCTGGGGAGCGAAAGGGTCTTAGTTTGCCCCACCGGTGTTCCGCAGCTCCACCCTCTCCCGGCTGGGACCTTCTGGCTAGGACCCCACTCCGCGGCAGTGTCCCTTACTCCTAGCTTTAGAGGCTGCAACTCCATGCCCTCATCAGGGCACCAGCTTTCCAGTAAGCTGAGCTGTTAGTGGGTGTGACTGGATTGTCGTGGGCTGCCTCCCCACGGCTTCTCTGCCTTTTCCCAGTGGCTTCCACCATGTGCCTTGTTCCTTCGAGCCACAGGAATTCTAGGCTCCATGGCAGACATGGCGGAGTGAGGGGGTGGGCGAGGGGTGGGGGAAATTGGAAATAGGCTCTGTACCCCTGAATCGTAAGCCATAAGATCCTTTCCTCGGTTGTTGGCCTGTAAAATTGGCTTTGCCGAACCGCAGTGCTATCAATAATATGGCCAAGCTGATCTAGTGCTTGGTAGTTTTGGGCACATGGCTCTTTCCTCTTGAAGGTTGAATATAATGCTCGTGCTCTTTTACAGGTGGCCAGTGGCGATTTCGATGCTTGCATCCAAGTCTGTGAACATAAAACCCCTCGTCACCCATAGATTTCCTCTGGAGAAAGCTCTGGAAGCCTTTGAAACATTTAAAAAGGGATTGGGGTTGAAAATCATGCTCAAGTGTGATCCCAATGACCAGAATCCCTGATGTTTATTGGCTTTGCCCTCATCCGCACAGTATCGGGATCTCAGGGCACAATGGCTGGACAGGGGTGGGCTTTCATGCAGAACTTTCTCTTTTGAATGTTAAGAATAATTAATACAACTCATCATGAACAGAAGTCCTTATGCAGAGGAATTGGTGTGCCTTAAAGATACAATCTGGGATGGTTTGGGGGAACTTGTAGCCAGAGTGGCCTGTTCATGCTGAGCAAAGTCCAGCAAGCAGAGCGGAGTTTGGCAGGCAGGTGCCGGGAACTCTTCCTGGAGTGCCTTCATTGAGTAAGGAAATCTGGCCCGTGGGTTTCCTGGTTCCACTGCTACTGACCCGGAGGGGAATGAGGGCTGAGTTATGAAAAGATAACTTCTGAAGACTTAACTGGCCCAGAAGCTGATTTTCATGAAAACCTGCCACTCAGGGTCTGGGATGAAGGCTTGTCAGCACATTCAGTTTAGAATGCAATGTCTCTAGAGACACATTGGCTGTTTGGTTTGATGATAAAAGGAGAGTAAGAAAAGGCATCACCTTCCTGGATCCAGGATAATTTTCAGACCAATCAAATGAAACAAAAAAGGAAGTGTCATGTGAGGTTAAACCAGCTTGCATTCCGCTAATGTGGAAAAAGTAAGAGGACTTCTCAGCACTATTTGAAGATTGCCTCTTTTTCAACTCCTGAGAATTGTGTTATTTCACTTGCCAAGTGAAGGCCCCCCTCCCCAACATACCTCACCCCACCCCACCCCTAAACATGGTCCCTTGTTACTAGGCAACCAGGAAACTGCTACCTGTTGACCTCACCAGAGACCAGGAGGGTCTGGTTAGCTCACAAGACTTCCCCACCCCGGAAGATTAGCATCCCCTACTAGGCTCATACTCAACTGATGATTATTAGACAATTCCATTTCTTTCTGGTTATTATAAACAGAAAATCTTTCCTCTTCTCATTGCCAGTAAAGGCTCTTGATATCTTTCTGTTGAAATGATTTCTATGAACTTGTCTTATTTTAATGGTGGGTTTTTTTTTTCTGGTAAGATTTGGATCCAAATCGCATCATGCCCACTTGTGACTTGGAGATTATTCATCAAGAATGAGGAGATAGTAGCCATGACATAGCTTGAGCTGTAGCCTTTAATCCCTTACTTCGACTGTGGGTGGAGGGTGAGTTTGAAGAGGTTCTGATTTTCTTGTAACGTGGGAAAGCCATGACCTTGTGCCCGAATCTGTCAGATTGCTTTGGGTAATAAATATTGTTAGTGGCATCTGACTCATGCTGCTGTTTAGTGGGCAATGGACTTACGTTACCCATTTCCCGGAGGAAGGGATCCCAGGATTTTTGAAGGTGACATATTTTCTGTACCAAATATAATTTCATTGACATGAATTATCTCTAATCCTCACAACAAGTCACATACACAATCATTTTGTAGATAAAGAAGATATAAATGCCAGAGGAGACCTTAAGATTGTCTTAACACAACCCTTCGGCTAACAAGGGTGGAAATTGAGGCTCAGATTGTGGAAGTGACTTGGCAGATCACACAGTGGGTTAGTCAATGGCCCAGAATTAGACAGAACCCAGGAATCCTGGCATCAAATCGTTTACAACATGCTGCCTCTCATAGGCCAGAGGGGTCCAGTCCTAGGGGACAAAGGATGCCCCCATGGCACCACCCCCACCAAGCAGCTCCTACTGATGAGAAGATGCACTCAGCAATCTCAGTGGGAACATCCTCACACCCTGTGCCCACTTTCAGGTGCCCAGGGAAGGAGCTCTGTGTCTGCTTCAGCCAGGGCTTTAAGAGGAGAAAGAAGCTGGGAGTGAGGGGCAGAGGCTCTACCAGAGAATGTCTGCTGGTGTCTTGGAGGCACTTCCTGCAGACTATGCACTCCTTGCGAAGCCATTTCACTGCTGTCCCTTCATCCTTCTCCTCCCTGAGCCCTAGGTAGAAGTCCGTGTGTGGAGGAGGCCACCCAGAGATGACCCTGACCAGGCCCCACCGCCTGTAGCCACACCCAGCCTCTGTCACAGCTGGCTGCTAATAGTCAGCATTGCTTCCCTGTTATTTGGCCTCCGTACCTTGAACCTAGGTTGACATCATGAGCAGAGGACAGTTCTTAGGAAAGGCAAATATCCCGTAAATCCTATTTGCCTCCCCTTCTCCTAATCTCTGGCTCTACCAACTCCCCAACAGGCCTCCTGCACACACACTAGGAGCCAGGAGGGAGGAGGCGGGACTGTGCTACACAAGGGAGACTGGGTGGGAAAGATGTCAGAGAACCAGTGCCTGAGTGCAGAGGTGACTTCACACCAGCATCTGCGGTAGCCAGAGGTGGCCTGCAAGAGGGAATTGCTGGAGCCAACATGTCCCCTTTCTCGGTTAGGGTCCGTGGAGCAGTCTGCTGCTTTCTACCCTCCAGGTTGCCTGAAGGGTTCTTCCCAGCTCTCCGCCCTGACACCTCTTCACTCACTAGCACTGGTGTTGCTGACTGGGTGGGGTCCTCAGTGTTGACTGAAAGCCTGAATCAAGTGCCAGGCACTGGTGGCAAAGCACATAGAGGCTGCTGGAGCTTCTAAGGTCACGGAGCTTGTGGGGAATTCACATGCTTGGTTCCGGGACTGATTCACTGAGACAATCAGTATTGATTGAGCACTTAGTGGGTTGTGGTGGTGGTAGGAATGAATTCCTGGGCTTCCTGCAGCCCCTTTCCATGAATCTATACATATAAAACATGTACATGCATTTGTAAACATTAAGGGAGTGTGCTTTACTTTTTTCATTTTACTCGTAACAGATGAGAACTTTAAAAAATCACAATTATTAAATAATTCCCATTACTATACCCGATAAAACTAATAATAATTTCATAATAGCTAATACCCAATCAACCCATGCTGTATTTTCCCTAATCTAAAAAAACAGAAAAAATTACTTTTTTTTTTTTTTTCCCCAAAGACAGGGTCTTGATCAGCGCTCGCTGCAATATCAAACTCCTGGGCTCAAATGATCCTCCTGTCTCAGCCTCCGGAGTAGCTGGGATTATAGGCATGCGCCACCATGCCTGGCTACTTTTTGTAGAGAAAAAAATTTAAAAAGGTCTCACTGTGGCCCAGCGTGTTCTTGAACTCCTGGCCTCAAGCAATCTTCCTGCCTCAGTTTCCCAAAGCACTGAGATTACAGGCATGAGCCACCATGCCCAGCCAAAACTGTACTTTTTTACACTTGCTTTTCTGGAATCAGGATTTAAACATATTGCATGTGGTTGATATATTAAGCCTTTTTAAAAATTTTTTGTTCTTTCTTAAGCCTCTTTATTATAGTTCCTCCTACATTTTGGTTTACATGCCACTGTTACGTTGAAGAAACTGGATCCTTTGTCTTCTAGATACTGTTTTACAAATGTGCTTGTTTTCATTAAATAAATGGCTAAATTTCTTTCTATGTCAATAATTGTACACATCATTATTTTAAATCACCACATCCCATTGTATGGATAGACTATCATTTATAAAGCAAATTGCAGTATTTTGAGTGTTTGGATACTTTGCAGAGTTTTGCTCTAATAATAAAGTTGCAATGACTACCCTTGTTGCATATTTTTGTGCTCCTGACTTATTATTTCCTGAAGTTATTAATCTGTTATTTCTTGAAGTTATATTTTAGAATGAAAATACCTGGGGTTAAGGGTACACACATTTTTAAGGTAACCTGGTTAGACGAGAAAACATGGTATTGACATTAAGACTGTCTAAGAAAATCTCTGGGGGTGCCCCAGGCCTTGTGTGATGTGGGAGGACTCTGGGGTCTTGGGTAGCTCACAGGGGCTGCTGAGGATGAGGCCATGAAGCCACTGGCTCTATGGCTTCAGGTCACCCTTGGGAAAGCAGGGACCTAGACCCATAAACTTGGACAGATTTTGCCAACTTCCCAGGCCCCAGTTTCCTTATTAGTAAAATTGGTGGTCCCTCTTAGCTCCGGGACTACTGCCAGGACGTGACACCAAACAGCTCCTGTAAAGGACTGGCACAGAATTCATAGGGAGCTGTGACTCAGCCACTGTGAAGCAGTGAGACCAAATCAATGAACTGATACTGGAAGCCTTCCCTAGCCCTGCCCCTCCACCTCAATTCCAGGGGACACTGGGTACCGTTCACCAAACTTTTTTTTTCTCCTCCAGGTTTATCTTACAACCAAATCCAAGCAGAGGCTGCCCCACCCCAACTCCCCATTTTACACAAGGGGGCAATGCCAACCAGAATTCAGCAGCATGGCTCCCTCACCCCTCACCACTTCCATTGCTCAGGGCACTGTGGGGAGGGAAAATCCCACCTCAGCCCAATACACTTCCAGAGTTCCCTACTACAGGTATTCTGTAATAGTTACACCAGACCTGGGCTCACGGACATGGCTGGGATGGAAGAGGCTGGGCAAATGGCAGCTTCAGCTCATCTTGAGGCTGCCACATTCACTCTTCCCCACTGGGCCTCAGGAGGTGAGAATCCCTGATCCCCTGTGGCACACGAGGAGAAGGCACTGGAGGAAGAAGCCAGAGGGAGGCAACACAGAGAACCCATGAAACTTGCTCACCTACAGCAAGCAAAATGCCCTCACCTTAAGTAATCCATTCCCACTGCCACAGCAACAGATGGGTGACTTGGAAGTTGGGGAGCCTCCGTGATGGCTTCAGGGATCTTCCCAGAAAGTACAGAACACACGTTGCTGTCTTTCTCCTGGCTAGGCCTACCCAAGTTAGTCAATAGCCAGGAGCCCTTCCCCTTGTGCCTGACCTGGCAATTTCAGGAAACTAAAGTCTTGAACTCCTGATCTATCTTTTGGCCCAGTAACAGTGTTATTCAGGATAAAAATATTTCTGCTTGTAATAACCTAGAATTAGTGTTTCTTACGATACATAAAGATGGGGCGTATTACTGTTGAATGCTGTCAGCAATGAAACAGCAAAAGAAAAAATGGGTGAGAGGGAGGAGCATAAGACCAATTGAGATCTGTTTCACTGAGAAGTTCAGGGCAGGAGTTCCCGCAACTCTAAAGAAAGGCCATTCACCAAACTTTTTTTTTTTTTTTTTTTTTTTTTTTGGAGACAGGATGTTGTCCTGTCGCCCAGGCTGGAGTGCAGTGGCGCGATCTCGGCTCACTGCAAGCTCCACATCCCGGATCCAAGCGATTCTCCTGTCTCAGCCTCCTGAGTAGCTGGGATTACAGGAACACACCACCATGCCTGGCTAGCTTTTTATATTTTAGTAGACAATGGGTTTCACTATGTTACCCCGGCTGGTCACCTGAGCTCAAGCAATCCCCTTGCCTCGGCCTCCCAAAGTGCTAGGATTACAGGCAAGAGCCACTGCGCCCGGCCCATTCACCAAACTTTAACAAGCCACCAGGAAGAAGTAAGGTGTTGTGTGTAGAATGTTCCTTATTGGTTCTGACCTCTCCAAGTAGGTGCAAAACCATGTGGCATAAAATGACTTGGATTGGGTACTGGCTTAGTCCATTTTGTGTTACTATAACAGAATATGTGGGACTGAGTGATTTACAAATAAAGGGCTTCATTTAGCTCACAGTTTTGCGGGCTGGAAAGTTTAAGGGCATGGCCTGGCTTCTGGTAAGGGCTTTTGTGCTACACCATAACATTGCAGAAAAAGTCAAAGGGGAAGCAGACACGTGTGAAGAGGCCAAACTCAAGGAACGTCCTGGCTTTGTAACAACCCACTCTTGTGG